AGTTTCATTTATACCTGTACAAGAAATCCCATTTGATTTGAGTGAATAACCAGTATTACATGAACAATCATATGAACCAGGTTCATTTATACAAACTTGATCACAGGTATCAGTTCCCATTACACATTCATCATTATCTGTGATTGATGTAACTCAAGGCATTGTACTTAAGTTTTTATACTAACCTATACAGGAATGACTGTCGTTGCTCAAAGTGTATCCCGAGTCACATTCACAGTAGTAGCTACCAACAGTATTAATACAAGTCTGATTACAGTCAGAAATACCCAAAAAACATTCAGCAATATCTGTTTGAAATAAAATATATTGTGAAAAAAGCATTGGCTAACCTGAACAGAAAACACTGCCACTGTATCCTAATGGACAAGAACAATAATAGCTTCCATTTGTATTGGTACAAATTTCTTGACAACCACCATTATTAACAAGGCACTCATCAATATCTGATAACGATGACAACTGAAATTATCATTGAAATTCTTTAACGTACCTGTACAATCTGAGGTGCTATTTTCAATAAAGTCATATCCATTGTAGCATTCACAGTCAAAGCTTCCATCAGTATTTGAGCATGTTTGAGAACAGCCTCCATTATTATCAACACACTCATTAATATCTATTAAAAGAGCATGTTAATGCCTAATCTTTATTTACTGTACCAATGCATGATGTTCCATTAGCTACCATGATATAACCAGATCTACAAGAACAGTTATGAGTTCCTTCAAGATTAGTACAAATTTGATCACAGTCTCCATTATTTGAACTACATTCATCAATATCTGTGAAAATGTACGGTATATAATGCATTGAAGTATCAATGAAAACAAACCTGTACAATTATGACCACTTTCATCAACTGTATAGCCAGTCTGACAGGAACAAGTATAACTGCCATTAGTATTATAACATGTTTCTTCACATCCTCCATTATCAGTGATACATTCATTAATATCAGTGCAGGTATGATTATCAGGCTCTAGTAGATATCCAGTTGGACAACTGCAAAGGTAACTTCCTTCTATATTTTCACAATTATGTGAACAACCTGATGTTTGTTCAAGGCACTCATTAATATCTAAAAAACAATTTCATTAATACATGTACTTATTTAAATTAATAATTGCTTAATTTACCTGAACAAAATCGATTGTTTTGTAACCTGTAACCATCATAGCATAAACATTGAAAGAATGGTACTTCATTCACACAAATATGCTGACACCCTCCATTGTTACTTATACATTCATTGACATCTATTCTTGCCAGAAAAACATATTAAAAATTGTAGTAATCATACCTGAGCACCTCCTTCCATCACTATTCAAAAAATATCCATTATTACAAGAACATCTGTAGCTGCCAATAGTATTATTACATATTTGCTCACAATCACTGTCTATACATTCATCAATATCTACAGTTCTTAATAATATAGTATTGTATTAACCATATCTTTTACCTACGCAAGTGCTTCCATTTGAATGCAGTATGTAACCAACTTTACAACTACAGTAATGACTACCAGGAACATTGTTACATATCTGATCACAACCGCCATTACTGGAATCACACTCATTTATATCTATTAGGTTAACATGGTTAAAAAATAATTACTACTCTCCTAACCAGTGCAGTTGTGTTCATCAGTACTCAGGCTATATCCAGTGTCACAGCTACAAATGTATGAACCAACAGTATTGGTACAGGTGTGATCACAGCCACCATTGTTTTCAATACATTCATTATTATCTATACAATTATCATAAAGTCAGTTACCAATGCACCTAAAGTCTAACCTGTACAGTTTGTGTCACTATTATTTAATGAATATCCTTCCTGGCACAAACAGTAATGACTACCAATAGTGTTTATACATGTCTGTTGACATCCTCCATTGTTGATGGTACATTCATTAACATCATCACAATTATGATCATCACTGTTTAACTGATACCCAGTCATACAACTGCAGTTGTAACTACCAACAGTGTTGTTGCATATCTGATCACATCCTGATGTTCCTTCAATACATTCATCAATATCTGTATAAGTATTGGAAAATATCAAACAGTTATGTATTATTAATAAACAAACCAGAACAAGTATTATTAGTATGAGTATCCAATCTATATCCAGAGTAACATTCACAATAAAATGAACCATCAGTGTTCATGCAAGTTTGATCACAAATATTAGGATTAATATGACACTCATCTTCATCTGCAATATAATACTTTTAATTGTGTAATGTATTTTATTATTACCTATACAAGAAATCCCATTTGATTTGAGTGAATAACCAGTATTACATGAACAATGATATGAGCCAGGATTATTGATACAGACTTGATCACAGATATCAATTTCCATTACACATTCATCATTATCTATGATTAATATAGCTGAAAGTACATGTATATGTATTCAGATTTCTAACCTAAACAGGAATGACTGTCATTGTTCAAAGTGTATCCTGATTCACATTGACAGTAGTAGCTACCAACAGTATTAATACAAGTCTGATTACATCCTGAAATGCCCAATTCACATGGATCAATATCTAAAGTGACATAATTGTATAATGCAGTAAATTAAATAGAGATGACTTACCAACACAAAAAACATTGCCACTGTATCCTGATATACAAGAACAATAATGGCTTCCATTTGTATTAGTACAAATTTGTTGACAGCCACCATTATTAACAAGGCATTCATTAATATCTGATTAGAATGACAACTGAAATAATTATTGAAATTCTTTCATGTACCTATACAATCTGTGGTACTATTTTCAATAAAGTCATATCCATTATAGCATTCACACTCAAAGCTTCCATCAGTGTTTGAGCATATTTGAGAACAGCCTCCATTATTATCAATACACTCAATGATATCTATTAAAAGAGCATGTTAATGCCTCATCTTTATTTACTGTACCAATGCATGATGTTCCATTAGCTGCCATGATATAACCAGACATACAAGAACAGTTATGAGTTCCTTCAAGATTAGTACAAATCTGATCACAGTCTCCATTATTTGAACTACATTCATCAATATCTATAAAATATAAACAGTAGTCATGTATTAAAATACTTAATGAAATCAAACCTGTACAATTATGACCACTATCATCAACTGTATAGCCAGTCTGACAGGAACAAGTGTAACTGCCATTAGTATTATCACATGTTTCTTCACATCCTCCATTATTAATGACACATTCATTAATATCAGTACAAGTATGGTTATCAGGTTCTAGTAGATATCCAGTTGGACAAATGCACAAGTAACTTCCTTCAGTATTTTCACAATCATGAGAACAGCCTGATGTTTGTTCAAGGCACTCATCAATATCTGAATAACAAATTCATTAATACTTACTATAAAGTTGCTTAATTTACCTGAACAGAATTGATCATTTTGTAACCTGTAACCATCATAGCATGAGCATTGAAATAATGGTACATAATTCACACAAATATGCTGACACCCTCCATTGTTACTCATACATTCATTGATATCTGTTCATGCCAGAAAAACATAGTAAAAGTTGTAGCAATCATACCTGAGCAGTTCCTTCCATCACTATTCAAAAAATAACTATTATTACATGAACATGAGTAGCTGCCAACCGTATTATTACATATTTGCTCACAATCACTGTCTATACATTCATCAATATCTACATTTCTTAATAATATAGTATTATATTAACTATATCTTTTACCTATGCAAGTACTTCCATTTGAATGCAGTACATAACCTACTTTGCAATTACAGTAATGACTACCAGGAATATTGTTACATATCTGATCACAATCTCCGTTACTGGAATCACACTCATTTATATCTATTAGGTTAACATGGTTAAAAAGATAATTAATATCCTATTCGCCCTGAAATGCACACACAAAATATATACAATAAATACAATAAGCCCTGCAAATCACCCCAACAAAGGGGGAAAAGAGGGAAGGGTTGGTAACATTGTATGGGCCACACCCCCTAAGCTTGCTTTGCCTGGTTGTAAATGGTGGTCAAACTGAACCCAAGGCTTACGCACTAGTTCAACGCTGTGAAGCTAGTACGGCCAGATCATGAAGCCAACCTGGCCCACCCTGGCAGCAATGCAGCAATGATGCCTGGCACCTAAACAAGTGCCGCCCAAATCTAACTCTTACCAGCTGAACCAACTAAGGGGTCCAATTCAGGGTGGGCCGTATTTGCCATGAGCAACTGAATACTCTGCATTAGAGTGCCAATAGTTAAGCTGCATTAACTATGCCACTTGGGTCAGGCAATTACCCACCATGCCTTAGCATTAT